TTTAAAAGAATACCAAGAGTACTACTTAAATTAATGTTCATGGCAACAGGTGATTCACATTCTCCAAGCCTGCCTTGTGTAATATGTGACAACTGGCTATCCAAGGAAGTCATGAAACCTTCAAAACTGCTTTGTCATGTGGAGACCAAGCACCCTGCATTAAAAGACAAGTTTTTGTTTTGTTTTTTAAATGTAAACACAAAGAACAGAAGCAATTATTGAAGGCCACCACTTCACCAAATGTGTCTGCACTGAGAACATTCTTCTCAGTGGCTAATTGCATTGCTAAAGCTAAGAAGCCCGTTACTGTTGGTGAAGAGTTGATCCTGCCTACTGCTAAGGACATTTGCTGTGAACTTTTAGGAGAGGCTGCAGTTCAAAGGTAGCATTTTCCCTCTTTCAGCTAGCACCATAACTAGATGAATTGATGAAATAGCAGAGGATATTGAGACACAATTGCTAGAGAGGATTAATGACTCACCATGGCACGCAATCCAAGTTGACAAATCTACCAATGTTGACAACAAGGCAACAATGCTTGTTTTTGTGTGACACATTTTTCAGGAGGATGTGCATGAGGACATGTTATGTATACTTTTGTTACCAACCAACACTACAGCTGCAGAACTATTCAAGTCTTTGAATGATTACATACCAGGAAAACAGAATTGGTCATTTTTTTGTCATGTATGCATCGACAGAGAGGCTGCCATGACTGGATGGCTTTCTGGTTTCACTATTCTGGTCAAAGATGTCACTTCTGAATGTGAGTCTATGCACTGTGTTATCCATTGAAATGCTGGCTAGCCAAAAAATGTTACCTGAACTTAACAATGTTCTACAGGATGTGATTAAAATTATCAACCACAAAAGTACATGCCCTTAACTTATGTCTGTTCATGCAGCTCTGGGAGGAGATGGATGCAGAGTACACATGTCTTCTCTTATACTTAGATGTGAGATGGGTTTCTAAAGGTAGATCACTGGCCATAGTTTTTGGTTATAAGAGCTGCTCCAGAGATTTCTTCTAGAAAAACAGTCACCACTGGCAGCACATTTCAGTGACACAGAAAGGGTCACAAAACTTGTTTACTTGTGTGACATATTCAACCTGCTCAGCGAACTCAATCTGTCACTTCAGGGGAGAATGACAACTGTGTTCAAGTCGGCAGATAAAGTGGCTGCATTCAAAGCCAAACTGGAATTATGGGGGTAGCGAGTGAACATTGGGATTTTTGACATGTTTCAAACATTAGTGGAGATTTTTGAAAGAGACCGAGCCAGGGCCTCTTTTCTCTTAACTGGTGCATGATCACCAATCTCAACTTTCAAAAGAGTCAGAGCATTACTTCCCAATCACAAAAGATCGCCAAAAAAGGAAGGAATGGATCGCAGCCCATATGTGAATAAGCCAGGTGAAAGGCCTGTGCCTGTGCTAGAAGAGGATCAACTACTTGAGATCACAAATGACAGTGGCCTCAAAAGTATGTTTGATCTCCACATATTCTGGATTAAACTCAAAACAGAATATCCTGAGACTGCCACAAAACCACTGAAAAGCCTGCTTCCATTTCCAACGTCCTGTCTTTTTGAAGCAGGGTTTTCTGCAGTTATAGAAACCAAAAGGAGATTATGGAGTAGACTGGACATAAGCAACACACTTTGGGTGTCACTGTCTCCCATCTCCCCCAGATGGGACCATCTAGTTGCAGGAAAACAAGATCAGGGCTCCCACTAATTCTGCATTATGTTGAGTTGTATAATTATTTCATTATATATTACAATGGAATAATAAAAGAAATAAAGTGTACAATAAAAGGTAATGCACTCAAATCATCCTGAAACCATCCCTTCTCCCCACCTGGTTTGTGGGAAAATTTTCTTCCATGAAACTGGTCCCTGGTGCCAAAAATGTTGGGGACCTCTCTGGTATAATCTATATTCTATGAAACTTGTCACTGGAATCTTACGTGCCCAACAGGTCCCATTAAACACAAGTCATAAAAAATTTTAGAGAGCTGGTAGACAACGCAGTGTTCCTACAGCCACCCCCTTCCTTACTGATCCCTCAGCTCAGAATGAAAAAGCAGAATGATGTTTCTACATAGGTGCCTTCATCCATGAAGACCATCATCTTGTTTGGTACAGGCACTCTTGGTGAGGCAACTGGAGAGACAAACACAGATACCTAAGGACATGTAGTTCATTATTAATTAACTCACCACCAGTTGTGTGGTTATACTTACCTGAAGCAAATTTAAAGTGAGTGTGTGTGTGTGTGTGTGTGTGTGTGTGTGTGAGAGAGAGAGAGAAAGAGAGAGAGATGTGAAAAAAACCCGAAGCCCGAGGCGATCGTAGACTTGCATGAGAATTTCATCCTGAGAATCATTAAAGCACACCATCCTGTCTACCAACACCATTTGTTGAGCATTAATATATAAAAAATATTAATAATTTAGCACTAGGCTAAATATGTGGCATGCACTATTTCTTTTAATATTTTATAACACATCAAGTTTTTAATTACACATCTATTTAATTATTGTGAATATTTAGTTTTATGAACACCGTCTGGCTCACCAGACAATACACTCCACAAGATGAGCGATTTTTCTTTCTGTGTTTTATTTCCACCATTATACCTTCAACACATATCACAGTGACTAATGAATCAACAAATACTGATGCTTAATAAATATTTGTGAAGTGAATGAAGAACTTTCCCATAAAGCAGACATAATTTTTTTCATTATTAATGAAGAAAGTGGAGCCTAAAGGATATTGTAAACTCTTCTCCCCAAAATGTTTGCACTACCACTTATCTCTAAATTCTTCTGTTCTAAAAGCCCACTTACTAAATGAAATTAATGCTCATAATTATTACTCAGTGAAGATATCTTTGCTTTATATCTATGGGACTTTACTTCGGTAGATGCAGCTTCCCATATGATTTTACGCTGCCTCATTTACCACTACCCCGGTGCCCCACGTGGCCATTTCTTCTCTGGAGTCTCACTGTGCCCTCAATCCACCCCTACGACCTTACTGTCCCACCCCTACCATCACACCACCCCAAAGCAGTGACCCTCTGCTTTCTCTCTCTCTCCTGTCCTTATTTCATTGGGGTAATTTCTTCCTCCCCACTTCTATTGTCAATGTTATGTGTCCAAACCTGCAGATAATTTTTATGAGTTTATTTGCACCAAAATAACCACAATTTCTGGGAGTCAAAAGCTCAATGGATGGAAAAATGCTCCTTTGAATGACAATTTTGCAGTTTATTTTGTACACTACAATCAAAGAAGTATGTATAAGGAGGGTCACACGAAATCTATTGGTGGTAGATTAAGGGAATGGGGAAAAAAATAGGGCAATCTCTGGGATTGGATAAAGAGTAAAATGGAGAGGCACACACTTTTTACATTGGCGGGTACAGGATAATAATGGACATTTACAGCACATAGAGATAGTATTCAGGGAACAGAATACAATGAGGGGTGATGTGGTCTCATGCCCTGGTGCTATGGGTGTGCCCTGAATGGGTCAGAAAAAGGGAATTACTCTGACATTAAAAAGGTATGCTATCTTAGATGCAAAAAGACAATAGATGGCCTCACTTAAGGTAAAGATTGACCTTTGTCACGGAAGCTACAGGCCTAGGAAGTGACTACCTACCAGGATCCACTTTTAGTTAGGAATTTGCGTGTTCAGACCATCTAGTGTGGCTGCTTTCGGTCTCTGAGTGTGTAGGTCCTGCCGTACTGGTCTCCCCTGAGCTTGGCAGCTTTAGCATGTGGCTCCACTTTTATCTATACTAAGACATTTTCCCTGTATCTTAATTTCTCTCCCCTCTTTGCAGCTGGCTCTTAAACTCCTAAGTACAAAAACTTCCACTTTGAGAACAGCAGCCTCCCTTGACTGAGGAAAAAACACAGGAGAAACTCTCTGCTAGAACAGGGGTCAAAGAAAGGGAAAATCAGGAAGAGTAAAGTGAATGAATGTGAACTGCTATCTCCAAACCCGCTACTTCACTGTCATTGTTCAGCTCGCCTTCCTCCTCACCATCATTACAGTTACTGACACGGAGGTGATCACTGGAGTCTGAGTCTCCGTTAATACCTTTTCTCGGAATCCTTAGCGCAGAGGAAGTACTTTATATTCAGGCTTCTGCAGCACAGGTAGCACAGCTTTGGAACTCAAGCAGGTGTGGGTTCAAGTCCCCCTCCCACTATTCAGTATCCTTGGGTATCTAAGCTATGGCTAAGTTTCCTGCCTCTGAAATGAGGATAAGAATGATCAGGTTCCAGTTTTGTGATGGGGTTGTAAAGATCATTTACTGGACACAATTCCAGCATTTGTTTAATAAATCCAGAGTAGCTCTTGTCAGAGAGGAAAGGATTACTCCCAGACTTCCCTGCAGTGCCCTAATTCTGGAAAGCTTCTCTGCAGGAAGCCTGTAGTTCAGGAAGCTGGGGTGCCCTGTTGATCTGGGTTATTCTTTGTACACAGTCCCCTAAAGCAGCTACAGCCAATGCAATGCCCTTAGCCTTACTGCCTTATTTAACGTAACTTGCCTCTTGCAGAGAACCTTGGAAAGCAAATGCCAGAGGCTGTAAGTTCACGGATTAATTATGGGAACAGCAAAACCCAGGAAAGTCATTGGCAGGAGGTGCCCCTTTAAAATGGCAATTTGTTGGCCACCGTTGGGGAAACGAAGACAGTAACCCCAACAGCCACTTCCTCTCTCTTTGGCTTGGAGCACTTGGCTTTCATTTAGGAGGCCATCAGGTTCAATTAAGCCTCTGCATAACAAGTTGTCAGTCACCATCAAAGCACCTCCTGGATACCTGTCAGAGCAGCCTCCTCCTTGTCACTTCAATCTCCTTCCGGAAACCTGTGAGCAGGATTTCAAGGAGCTGAGCTGGTACATATTGTATAACACTCTGTTTTCCTCCCCCCATCCCCGCTGGTTTTCCAGAGGCTTCTGCCATAGCAGGTCAGGTTGCAGGGAGCCAAGGGGGCAGGACAGATATAGGAGTCCTCAGCGAGTGCCCTTCTTGCTGAGTTTTGACAAGGACATCTTTCTCGGAGACTGCGGCAACAACCTGATCAGAGTAAGCAGCCCCAGGCCACGGCTTTTCTGAGGGTTCCCATTAACCCAGCAATGTGAAGGGGCGGGAGGGTGGAAGGGTGGGAGTGGAAGCACTAATGCCTAAGAGCAAAGAAAAGTACTGAAAAGTACTCTGGGTTGCAGACTGAGCCACTAAGAGGTTAGCTCCCTTTTCACCGCCTTAAAGCCTTGGTGCTTCCCCGCCTCCTCTATCAACACACCTGACAGCTGTCATCTGTGTATGTGGCACTCATTTGCAGTTTCCCAAATTAGCTCAATGCCACCCTTTTGCAGCCACTCAAGAAAATATATCTGAATGCAAATGAGGGAGAGAAAGGTTATTATGTGGAAAGCGTTAAATCTGCTTCCTTTAAAACAATGCACGATATCCACAAACTTAACTATTCTATTATCAGTAACAAATTATTTGGACATGATTTATTAGTAGATCAAGGTGTACTCTTGCAGCATAATGTTGTGGCTGAGAATTTGGGGGGACTTTAAAGTTTCAGGACTTTCTTCATCTAATGCAACAAAGCACGACAAAGTAAAGAGCGTGCAGCAGGAGCCACACTGGGGACATGCCTGCACACCTGATCTTATCAGGCACCCTATGGTGGGCAGGGCTGTTCTTCTACAGAAGGAGCCATGCCCATAGACTCCAAAGACCTGATTTTGCGTCCTCTTTCTGTACCCCGTGACCTTGAGCAAGTTTCTGAAGTTGAACAACTCATGACTTTCAACTTCCTCATCTGTAGAGGAAAGAGAGATACTTGGCTGAGAATTGGGATGGGGATTGAACGATAATTGCTAATGATATGCTCATTGATAGATTAAGAGCTCTATCTGGATTCTCTTACACTCCCTGTATGTTTGTTTCCCTTATATAGATGAGGAAATTGAGGTTTAGAAATTTTATGACAAAGTGTCTGAGCCTGGATTCACCCATGCAGTCTAACTCTAGAGTCATTTATGTGCCAAATAATTCTGCTATATTGTCTCCATTTGTTTAAGTGGATGGCTGTTGCCCATTCCCCAAAACTTAGCAGAAATTTGTATGTGTGTTAATAATGGTGAGAGGTTTTCAAGAAATAAATGAACAAAGAAATAGACACATTTCTTATAAAATGATATATAAATGCACATAAATGATTATCACTTTTATATGCTAAGTAAGGAATTTTAAAATTTTACTGTTGAATGAACTTCAGAGACCTCTTCTTCTAGAAACTTACAATCAACATGTCAATCAAGTCCACCTTCAGTTTTATAGCTCTCCACGTTTGCCAAATATTTAGAGTTTTTCCTGCCAAAATATGATTTATAAAGCGAAATTTATTTCTCAAATTAAAAAAGTAGATGTATATACACCTGTGTGACACACACATTCAGATACACACATATAATGCCTAAGTTATGACCATGTATGCAGAAATATCATCCACGCAAATTAATAGGAAACCAAGGTTTTCTTTCAATTTCTTTTCATTCAAGTCTCAATTTAAGTGAATTATTTCAGATAGGCTTTGCCTGACTTGTAGGCTGGGGTAGGTTCTTGTTATGCTGTATTTTTTTTCTTCTCAATACACATCACCCCTAATTGTTTTTATTTCTTTGTCTGTACTCAGGGCTACAATGTTAATTGCCTGGAGAGTGGGCTGTGTAGAAATTATTTCTCAAGGCATCCCTCTAATTCAATGACATCTGTAGAATCCATTGGGACTTCCTTTCAGGAATGGAATATCTGTCTGTGTCCCTCCTGGATCATCTGTGTATGTCCTTCCCTCTCACTTCATTTAGAAATATAATAACAATTAAGTTCTCCAAGATCAAGATGGAATAAAGGAAGATATCACTGTACCCTCCATGCTTTGAATATGTTGTTCTCACTGCCAAACATTTACACCCTCCTTTTCTTTTGAACTTGGAGTCATTCAAGACTAGTTCAAACATTTCTCTTCTGACTCTTCCAAAGGGACTTAGTTGGAGTCTCCTCTGGATCTCCACAGCTACCTTGGGCCTCTTTTGGAACCAGTCCTGAGGGATGGCAAAGTCATGATGTTTTTTGGACTAAGCAAACAGAGAGGAATAAATCACCTCTGTCTACCTTCATCTTGCTTTGCTCACCAATCTGCTTTTCTAGCCCATCAGCAACACTTTGGGAGATACAAATGGGAGTTTCAGCGTAGATTTTGAGTTATAACTACTGGGGAAGTCTCCTCCCTATCCAACCTTAACTTAAAATATAGACGTATATTTTATATGTCTACATATGTTTTAATACAGAGTCTTAGGGCTTTAGGTATTTTAAGGGATGCCAGATCACTGTTTCAGTTGACTATTCTGGGAAGCTTGTAAGGAAAAACCCTTGCAGAAAGCAGAAGAGAACTAAAAACAGCAACAACAACAGAACAGTACAGCTGTACATATACTTCTACCCATAGAATTATTCATACTTCCTCTGGTAATTGACTTCTTTGATGGCACAGAATTAGGAGAAAGATGCATATATGAAGAGGGATAAAGGTACCCAGTTGTCAGTAAATTTAGAACCTATCCTGAATTAAGCTCTTACTCTACGATAGACAGTTGGATCAGTATTTCAGATATATCACAGTTTCGTGAGCCAGAAGTTTTTTCCTCTTTGACGGGTGAAGAAATTATAACAAGGACGACAACAGCTAACATTTATTGACCATCTTATTGTGGCTCTTTTCTAACTGGATCATATGTATTAATCTTTCACACATTAACTAATTTACTCCTCATAGTAACTGGTGAGATAGGAACTATTGAATCTACATTTTATAAATGCAGAAACTACATGGTCAAACAATTCATCCATTGGTATGAGGTGGAGCTGGGATTTGAACCTCATAATCCAGATCTGGATTCCATGCCAGGGAAAGTGAGGCTCAGAGAAGTTGTGCAAAATGCACAGAATTACATTTCCTGGTCTAAAATTCTGTGTCTGGAATCCAGATATGTTTAATGATAGTGTTCTATAATTTGTTATTAATGCCATTTGTTGTTTTACTTACCATGCTGTACACTATTATTTTCTGCTTGCCTAGCTGGATAGACTTGGATAATAACCTTACAGTTCACATTTTCCTTAAAACTATCTGTGACCTGAACAAAGCACTTTCATCCCTTTGATCAAAATCCCTAGTCAGGAACTGGCTAAAAGATCTCCCCATCCTTCTCAGAGCTCTGTTCCAGCAAACCAAAGCCTCCATTTCTTCCATGTGCCATAAAACTGCCTTGAACTAAAGTTTGTTTTTTGTGCTGCCCTTTCTCACTGTCTACTGTCCCAGGTATATTCCTTATAATGGAAAGAAGTCCACTAGATTAAAAATAGAGCAGCTTCAGGGCCCCTGACATTTCATTAAGGAACCAACAGTTCTTCAGTTTTGCTTTTTGCAGGCCTAGCTTCCCACAGACACAAAATAAACAGGAGACAGGGGCACTTGCCTAAAAGATGCTTGGTGAACACTTTTGTTTTAAGCCCTGTGTTTAGACAGACAAATCCAATTCAGCTTAGTCTTGTGCAGTGACATTACGCTGCCTTTCAGAAACTTTTGCACACTTAATTATCCATCATCAAATGCTTCTGCCTCCCCAGAAATCCTGGCCAGAGGACACATAAAGCATGGTCAACATTTATATTGGGACGAATCAGATTTCTATGTAGCAATTCCTCGCCCTCATTCTATAGGAAGAAAATTCTTCACACTCTAAATGTAAAAGATAGAGTTTGCCTTATTTCTTAAAATGCTCATTATATCCTACTTCTGTGTTGTGTTTACTTACTCAAGGTCTAAAAAGTGCTAAAGTAATTGAAATCAACTGAGACCTCTCTCATCCAAATGACCTGAAGTCCTGCACATCAAAAAACATCATGAATAAGGTAAATAGTGGTAAAGACTCTTTGGGGTAGGTGGGGTTTTGTATTTTGCTCCAGCTTTCAAGGACATTACGTATCCTACGTGAGGTTCTAATTGAAATATTAGCTGTTTGATCATACAGGGAATACAGGTTAATTATCAGGTTGTAGCTGAATAATTACCTAGCAATTGGCTTGTTAGATTAGTGCTATAATTACTTTGGCCATCCCCACCAAAACACAGTTGCCCTTGTTAAGTACTTATGGATTCATTGAGCATTATTAAGAGGAGACCTATTAGAGGCTGAAAACAAACAGTAATCATAGCCCTAAGAGGAAGAGAAATAAAAGAAAGTCCACACAACTCCTCCCAAAATGTAATGAAGGCTTTGTCTTGGACATGTTGTGTATTATCTTATCTTACACAGCATGCGGGAAAATACTGAGAGCAAATAGGGAGTTAGGTGATTATTGAAATTTTGGTGGTTCCTATGAGGAAAGTAAGTAAAGAAAGGAGGAAAGCAAAGAAAGGAGGGGCACAGGGAAGAAAAAAGGAGGGTAAGGAAGAAGAAAGTGGTCAGTACTGATGAATAGACCTCAAGTCAGAAGATAGGTTGACGGAATAAAAGAAAGGGCTGCTGAACACTGACAAAACATAGTCATTGCAGTAAACTGAACATGCCCCTTCCCTAAAGGATATTCATGTGCTAATCCTTGCCACTCAAAAATGTTGCCTTATATGGCTACAGAGGGCCTTGCAGAAAAGATGATGTTAAGGGCCTTGGATGGGGAGGTTATTCTGGAGCCTTAATGCCATTGTATGTATCCTTAAAAGAGGGAGATTAGAACAGATAAAAGAGGAGAAGACCGTGTGAGCATGGAGGCAGAGGGTGGGATGATGCAGCAACAAGCTAAGGAAGGCCAGCAACCACAAGAAGCTGAAAGAGACAAAGAATACAATTTTCCCCACAGGCTCAGAGTAAGCACAGCCCTGCCTCTGCCTTGAATTTGGCTTAGTGAGGCTGATTTTGGTCTTCTGGCCAGAAGAACTCAAACAGAATACATTTGTGTTGTTGTAAGCCACCCAGTTTGTGGTAATTTGTTACAGCAGCCATGAGAACCTAATACAGTCATTTAGCGAGTCACAGTGTTTATCGATTGCCTGTTAGTACCAGGTGCTGCTCTGAACACCAGGAGCCAAAAGAGATGCCAAGCGGAGAGAACAACAAACAAGCTTAAATAAACACAGACACAAAACAAGATGATTTTAGTTAATGATGGAGTCAGGGAAATACATAAACAGAAACCAGAAAGTAGTTGACTGCAGAGAAGGGGCAGTATGGGCAGCGGGGTTGGGGGGGGCAGGGTCCGGCAAAACCTCTTTGGGACTAATGGGGTAATGTTTGAGCCAATCTTGATGACAGAGCATTTTCTAACTTCTTGGCAACTATTGTCCATTTTAATTCTCAAAACAGCTTTTGAAGATAATAAATGTAACCCATATTTCCTGGGGGCTTAAGAGCTAAACTACTGGACCCAAGGATACAGTGTTAGGAGTGGTAGAAAAGAGATTCATAGAAGGAGAGCAAGATGACGGGGGTGGGGGGGGATGATTGAGCAAAAAGGAAAAAATAAAGTAGCACAAAAAGGAAAAAAAAAAAAAGATAGAGAGATTCAAGTTCAAGTGGGTCTAGGCTAAACCTTAAAGTTCTTCCATGTGATATGCAGGTAAAAAGAGAAACAGCCTGGCATAGATTAAGATGTCAAAGAAAGTTTTCCCAGCTACCTTGAGTGAAGATATTAGATGTTCTTTTCAGGCCTCCATAATTTGACACTGTATGTTACCTGGGTCATAATACATTAAGTCCTCAGTGGCATCAACAATTACCAGTTTCAACAGGACACTCCACAATTTAAGAGCAAAATCTCCTACCTCCCTGAGTAATGAGAATCTATTTCAACTATTAACCACGTGACTTCTTCCCCTCAGTTTGGCGCGGCTGTCCCTGAAGAATCTCCCGGTCACTTAAGTGGAAATATCACATGCAGCTGAATGTGACAGGCAGGCTAATGCCCGGGAGTGAGCAGGGAAAGATAGGTTGTACTGGCTCAAGGCCTGCGGAATCCTAATTTGCTAGTTAGGGCCTTTGGCGTGACTAGGCTGTGCCAAGAGAGAGGCATTCTGTCCTGTCGTGTCAGCTTGCAGACTCCAGGGAATGTCTGGCTTCAAGGGAAGGGCCTGTCTGACGTGTTACCAGTGGGCGACAGCCAACACAAGGCACTCATACCGTGATTGTTAAAGGTGGAGCCTGGCTGGCTACAGCGGCTCCCAGGGGAAGCCTGCAAGCCTGTCAGTGCTTATCAGGGTCGCTGTGACAGCCGGACACTCAGGCAGGAGCGGTGGAAAAGGAGAAAAGCAAACAACAAGGCCACCAAGAGGAGACCCGTGCTTTGAACACCTCGGGGATAAGGCCAGGAAGGGAAGCTGGGGGCTGTGGCCCGCATTTCGAGCATTTGTCCGCAGACTGTAGTAAGTTCTGATCATGTATACCAAAAACAATTCTTGCCAGAGTCACAGATGATTTTAGAATATGAGACTTTCAGCACAGCTTACCATCGATTGCCTTAGAGAGAAGTACAAATAACAATCACAATGGCAAAAATAATAGCTAGCATTCATTCAGTGTTTTTCTCTGCCAGGCTGTGTTGTAAATGTTTTAAGCATAATTAATTCATTTAATCCTCACGACAGCGCTGGACAGTAGATATTATTATTATCCTCCTTCTATATTTCAGGGGCATGTGAATGTAGCATATCACTAAAATGAAAATGCCAATAATTTTAAGAGTGTTAAGTTATGGGTAAAGCCAAGAAGTATATTATTACCTACACTGTGGTACAGGATATCTTTAGAGTTAGACCACAGGCATTGAGTCCTGCTGACCTGAATTGGAATTCCTCGATTAAATAAACAAAATATTTAACCTCTCAAAAACTCACTTTTCTTCTTTGTAAAATGGAGATAATAATACCTGTGTTGTATGATGGCTTGGATGGTCAATAGGATAAGATAGATAATGTACTTAGGATAATTAATAATAAATAACAGTTTCCCAACAGATGGTCATTAAAGCTGTTATATCAGAGATGCCTGGACACAGTCTTGTTATCCAAGTCTAAACTCCTCTCAGTCTATTTGCTCACTTATAAAATGAGGCCACTTAAACCCACATTATAGGTAATGAAAAGAATTGTACTTGAACATATATATTAAAGTACTTTCTAAAATATCAGTCCCCATTGAAATACTGGATAATCTCAATATTATCCCATTATTTTTCAAAAATGGGAGTAAAAAGTGCTTGGTTGAGAGGCCCAGATTGTGAAGAGAGGATATGTAACATGTAACGCATCTGGCACCTAACATGGTGCCAGGTACACAGTCTGCACTGAATTAATACCACTTCTCATTTTGAATCAACTGTGATTCCTAAAGAATCATATGTGTATCTTATCTCATTCTCCATCAGAGCTTTCTCTTTTAATTGTTTGATAGTTTATTTCTTATTGTATTTTTTCCATTACCACTTATTCCCCTCATACCCTCTTCTACCTCTACCCAACTCCCTCCCCCAACAATCACCACACTGTTGTCCACATCCATGAGTTCATTTTCTTTTGTTTGTTTGTTGTTTTGGGTTTTTTTTTGGCTTGATCCTTCCATCCCGAAATCCCCCTCCCCAGAGCTGTCACCCTACACTGTATCTATGAGTCTGTCTCAATCTTGCTTTTTACTTGTTACTCATCTAGTCTTTTAATTTTTATTTTTGCCACAGAGAAACATATAATTGCACTAGCCATCAAACTACTGTCCTGTTAAAGATTTTTTTTTGCAACTACAAGTCAGTAAGGTAATATTTGCTCAAACTTTAGCTATCTGGTTAATTTCCTTAGGAAAAAATAACAATAAAGCTGTCCCTGGAGGACGTTAGTACACCAAATTGTTGAACCTGTTTATCCCCTGACTTCTAGGACATAGCAGGAAAGTCTCAGCTGAATAGAAAGGTGGGTGGGGAACATGTACTTTTTTGTAAATAATTTATAGACCGTTCCCCTGTGCTGCAGCTAATTTAAGATTGTTGGGAGAAGTTTGCTCTGGGTTGATATAAAATACAAATATACCCCCTTTCAACTAACTGAGTCTGCCACAAGCTAGGTCATCTTGGTGTTCGACTGAAGAAAGATATCCAGTGTTGTCTGATTGTTACTTGCTAGGTTGATAATCCCCATATGCAGCTTCTAGAAAAATCAATAAGCACACATAGTCTTCGGTGTCCCAAATAGCTCTTCAAAACAAGCTAATGTTCTGAGTACCTGTGATGTGGATAAAGTTAGAAACAGCTCATTACTGGAAAAGATGGTTTTGAGAAGTGTTGGTTGCTGGTTTTTATGACAGCAGCTGAAATGCTACATGATGTATATTTCCATCAGTCCCAATGAAGGGCTAATTAAACAGAGGAAGAGCAGAGTAAATGTGAAACAAATGTCTCCTCATAAAACCAAGACCTCCGCTATTCTGTGCAATGTAGAGGCTCTGACTTTCAAAACACTGTAGTTGAGCAGGGGCTATGGATTGCAGAAAAATAGAAAAGGTGTGTTTTCTGTTTGTTTGCTGGTTGAAATATAATCTTAAGCACCATAAAATTCCAGTACTGTTCTTCTCTTCAGCTCCCTTATCCACATATGTTTTTATAGAGAAAAAATTAGGCCGCTACATGAGCTATCAGCCCAAGCTTACACACTGAGTGAGTAATAGAGCTAAGACAGGGATGGATCAGAGCCTCAGAATCAAAGCCTTCTTGATTTTTCCACAACAGCAAGTTTGCTAACTCCTCAGTGATCACTTAAGTCATATGGCTTATTTTACACATGTTCAAACACAGACCCAAGAGGTTTCAATGACTTCCCTAAAGTTTGCAAGTTGTTAGAAAAGGATTTCTGGTGTGTCTCAGGCAGCTGGTATTTTACAGGCCTGCAATCTCTAGCTTCCTCCAGAGCGAGCTCTCCAAACACTGTATTTACCAAACACCATGTTTATTATCTCCAACACACCAAAATTCTTCCCAAGACTTTATGAGTCACTTCAGATTCAGATGTTTCACTATTCATGAAAATTAATGAGATGAATTCTAAGCTGGTGACAGTACAATAGAAATATCTTATAAAATTCCAGCTACTGCTCAGTAAGATAGACTGGTATGTGTCCAGAGGATGGCCAAGAATGACGAGGATACCTTACAGGGTGACAATAGATGAGGACGAGCTCTTAGGAATTAGGGAAATCCTTATGCTGGAGAAAAGTGATCAGAACTCTGAGCAAATAATGGTGATCTTCTCAAAGACAGATTAACCTCATTCTTTATGTCTCTATATTTTTAAGGATCAATGGAGCAAGAACTTTTTAGAGAAATAAATTTGGGCTTATTATAAGAAAAAAAAATAATGTTCTAATAACCATGATCAGCTATAGGAGCTTCAAGAATGAGCCCTGAGCTACTGAGAAGAAACCAATAACCCAGAGAGAGAGGTCAACTGTTACTGAAGGTGCAGCCACAGGCTGGCCTTTTATTCTCTCTTGGCCTTGGTTTTATTCTTCTGTAAAAGTGTGGCATTGGAATAGCTTTTTAGGGTTACCTGCAGATGTAAAATTTTAATGTTATTTGTAATAATAATTGAGGTGCTTACATAGAGGGGGACCGCCTTAACTTGAAGATATTATAAGAGACTTACCCATAAACTATAAAATGGAATTAAATGTGCTTTAGGTTTGTTTCTCACTCCAGGGTTCAATTGATTTAATCCGAACTAGATTCTTAACCCTTTCTTGAATGAGATATTAACTCAGGCATAATGGACTATTTCACATTTATCATCAAAATCTTAACAAAAAATATAGTTGAAATGTTTAATGAGACAGAAGATAGGGGGAGATAAGAAAGAGGAGTTTTAGATAAAATTATTTTAAAGTGTTATGATTTCTTGGCCTAGAGTTAATTAAGGAACTTGTGCAATGCGTGGCATGCACCTTGGCAAGTACAGCCATAAAGAACTATTACAATGTTACCAAATTTCTAGTGATGACATGATGAAAATCCTGCTGAGTACCAGAAAATCTCAGCACAGGACCGTGGATGTCACCAATAGAAAGTCTGCAATTACAGTATCTGAAATTCCCACAGATGGGCCAACTCTGCCGTCCTTTGTCCCCTGGACCAATTCTGTGTATTCTTTGCTGGTCTGCATCACTGTATCTGATTTGAAATCTAGAGCTGCTATTGGTGAGTATAGGAACTGAATGTGCTCTTGGTTCTTATCTGCCAAAGAGGCTGGTAAAATGAGGGGCTGGCCTTTTCAGTTTCCAAGTGGAAGAGGGCACCACCTCAGAAATGTGAGGCTTCTCCAAATAGAGGACAGGGATTCAGACGCTAAACAGCTTAAGAAAAAAAAAAAAAAAAGACTATCATCAGAGCCATGAAAGCCAAAAAAGCAAATGTTTTAAGGAAAATGAAACAATCAGTGGTGGCCAAAACAGTCAAGTGCATTTCAATGCAGTCAAGAGGTGATGCTTTTAAATTTTGCAAATATTGATTAAAAATTATTGAAAACTTTTATCAGCAGTTTCAGCAGTGTTAGAATCAGAAGCTAGGTGTTATAGTTTAGAAGTGAATGCAACCAGAAGAATTATCATAAAAAATCAAGACATAGTCTCCCTGACCATTCATTGAATTTTAGAGTAGACAAATTCCATATTTTATTTTCATCAGCTCATCGGCAGTTGGCCTTATTGCCCAGAGGAGACTGCTGTGCTCGGGCTCCCATGAGGAAGGAATCATGGATAGAAATAGACCTCAGGCCTTTCTGTTATATGTTATGCCTACCACTTCAGTTTGCCTTTATTGGCTCCAGTTACATTTTAATCTTTACAGCTTCCACCATCTTGATAGATAATGGCTCATTCTTTCTGTAATAACAAATTTTAAAAAAAGAAGAAAAGGAAGAGGTTTATATAAGGAGACTGGGCCACTACAAGGGCTGTGGAATTTTTTGCTCTTGTCTAAACTATTCTCACGCTCAGTTACTATTCTCCCATCACAGCTCAGCCAGTAACACCCTCACTGCACACCGGAGCATCATGAAATACTTTCAAGGTTTTTCCAGTTTTTCGGTTCTGTTTTGTTAATTCTTGAAGTAAATCACTTTCTTATTCTCTTTCCTCTTCTTCAATCTTAGACATTGAAGTTCACTCTCAATAGGGGTTCAGATATATTTAATTCCCTTTGCTTCTCAGCCTCGATCCGGAAGGAAGACTTGCACAGTCCCTTTATAGTGCCAGTAACCAATGTCCCTGAACGAACGCATTTCTGGGTTTTTCCCATGAGAAGATCAAGCATACTGTTGATAAGGTTTGCAATTATTCAATATCCATGTTACTATTGTATAAATTCATTCATTTATTTATTCATTCAACAAATGTTTTTAGAGCACCTACTATGTGTCAAGCACTCTGTTATTTCATTTTTGTACTTTTCATGATCTATCACAAGAGAGTGTGTTTGCTCATTAAGTATTCATTGAAAGAATGAATGAATGAATGAATGAATGAATGAATGAATGAATAGAAATTGAGGAGACCTAGGCAGTACAAAGATTGTATATAAACAAATATCTTGGAAAAATAATCTAATATTGCAGGTTTGGTGGCTTAAGTAATTATGTGAGATTAATTAATATTAATCACCAATTATCACCAACAAAAATATGTCTCATAGATAGATGAATGCATTAGGGACACAGAGAGAGACATTCTTGTGTGCTTCATATAGATGTTATCAGTAGGGATGACATAAATTGCAGGCTAGAGGCAGCCACAGAAATCCTCCCAAAATTGTAGATGTCAGAAAGTGAAATGTCTGATGTCAAGCAAAGAGGAAGTATCTGTCAGAGCATCTGATGAGGTTTGGTCTCTGCTCCTGGCAATAATAGTGAGCTCAGAGGGGTCTCAAAGATCAAACTTCCAGGAGGAAAAACATCACGTGGGAAATAAAACACATTTAATGACAAATACTTAAGATTAGCAAATTATTACAATGCCAGAGATTTGTTCCATGAGAAAAAATGCCGAAGAGGCATAGTTCCGCAACAAAATCAGTGAAACAGGAGATAGGAACCAGTCAAGTCTAGCTATACATATTAACATTTTTGTAGCTGATGCATAGAGTGAGTTCTTAGTAACTGCTAAATCTGAATTTACATCTTGAGCCATGATAGAGAATTCTGAAGCAAAGAAAAGAATCAGAATGAAAAGATTTGGATAAATATTAATTTATGTAAATTATTATTAAAGATTTGGATATTCATCCACATTACAGTGATAACTGTCAAAGTTATAGACAGTACATGCAAAGCTCATGTAGGAAAAGAAATATTACGAATTGGTGGCTTTTAGAATTTCTTGATCTACCTTTTCCCTTTGCAATTTAGTGGAAACTTGGAGAAAAAATTATTTATGTTGAAACCTTCAAAGAAAAAACTGTGAATAATTTGTAATAGAAAAGTAAAAATTACCATTTCAGATTGATCACTTCAAGCTGTGTTTTGGTAATAGATCTGTGTTCAAGACTTGGATTCACCTCTTACAGGTAGTTGGCTATTCACCTCTTCAAGACTCAGTTTCCTCCCTTGGAAATGGAAATAATTGTAGGACCTTATCTTATGCCCCAGAACACTGCTATTCAACAAGTGCTGACCATCATTACTGTTAGCTCTTAGTCGTAACTGAAAGTAGAAGCTGCTATTATGTTGCCCTGCTCTTTGGAAAGTTTCTTAAGCACTCTTTGCCTCAGTTTCGTCACCTGTAAGATCATGACTATATTAAATCTCACCACATAGTCACTGTGAAGTTTAAACACTTTTTTAAAATGATGCTGGGCTACTGGAAAAATAAAATGCCCAATATATCAACCCATACACACACAGTCAGCACTCTATAAGTATTAGCTACTTAGACTGTGAAACACAACAATTTACTTTACTCTCCCATTCCTTAACCTCTCGAAATAACTCATGATATCTCTTGAAACTTGTATTTCTAATCTACTTCAATTCTCCATCTTCTCTCCCTTAGAAAATTTCTGTAGTCTAACTGGCCTCCTACATTTCATTTGTTTTTTTATATAAAAAAAGATTAAATTGTAAAATATCCCATACGGAAAAATACGAGACTCTATACTGTACAATGTTATAACAAATGGGATACACTACAGCAAACACTCAGGTCAAGGAACCTAGCAACGCCAGTTTCCATAAACCGCATTCCCCTCAACCCTTCTCAGTGACAGCTCCTTTGTACCCAGCTAACTGTCCACTATCTTGACAGGTAAACGAATCTACCTCTTGGTTTTTTAATTATTGTATCATATGTGTATGTATCCTCACTGAACTTTATTTTAAATAAGTTCTCCAATAGGAATTATTGCATGTTTGGATTTTTCATCAGTGTTATGTTTGTGTAATTCATCTGTATTGTCGCGTTAGCTATGTTTTATTCATTTTAGTTTCTGTCTAGGATTCAGCTGTATGAACATATCACAATGTATTTACTCATTCTATTTCTGATGGACATTTGGATTATTTCCAGTCTGGGTGACTTTAAAGGAAGCTAAAATAAGTCATTTTGAACTTAAAGCTTAGTACCCACCTGCAAACATTTCTGTATACATTGCTGTGGAATTCCAGGTTATACACAATTTAAAATGTACTGGATAATGTAAAACTGGAAAGAAATGTATAAATTCCTAGAAACATTCAACCTACCAGACTGAACAGACTGATAAATAATGTGGAGATTAAATATATAATCAAAATCTTCCCCAAAACAACAACAAAAAGCCCAGGACCAAATCGCTTCACTGGTTTATTCTACCAATTTTTTAAATAAAAATTAGCACTAAGAACCATATCAGTTCACTCATATATGGAGTATAAACCTGAAATTTATTGACACAGAAAACAGTTTGGAGGCTACCAGATGGAAGGGGTTAGCAAAGGGTAAAGGGGCCTAAACACAGAGTGATGGAAGGTGATTTCACTTCAGGTGGTAGACACGTAACGCAACATACAGACCGTGTTTCATAAAAATGTACACTTGAAACCCACGTGATCTAATTAACCAATGTCACCCCAATAAATGGAACTTAAAAATTAATACTAATCTTTCTCAAACTCTTCCAGAAATTTGAAGCAGAGATTTTATGAGGCCAGCATTATCTTGATTCCAAAGCCAGATTAAAGAAACCACAAAAAAAGAAAACTATAGGCCTATATTTCTGATGGCTATAGGTACAAAATCCACAAGGATGTTAGCAAATGGAATCTAATAGCATATTAAACGTATCATACACCAAGATCAAGTGGTATTTACCCTAGAATATGGGAATGGTTTAACATACAAAAATCAATTAATGTGCTACGTCACATTAACAGAATGAAAGACAAAAAGGTTTTTTTTTGAGAAAAATCTTTGATTTTTTTCTCAATAGATAGAAAAAATCATGTAGCAAAAGTCAGTAACTTTAATGATAATAACTCTCAACAAGTAACAATCTAGGTACAGAAGGAATGCACCCCAACATAATAAGGGCCCTATATAACAAGCCCACAGATAACATAATAACTTAACAGTTTAAAAAAACTAAAAACTTTTCTCTCAGATCAGAAACAAGACAAAGATGCCCACTTTTGCCATCTTTATTCAATAAAGTAATTGAAATCCTAGTCAAGACTAGTCTAGAACAGGAAACAAAACCATATAAATTGGAAAAGAAATAAAATTTTTCCTGTTTGCAGGTGATATGATCTTATAGATTTAAAAAACCTCTAAAAAATCCCATTAAAAAAAAACTATTAGAACTAACAAACAAATTCAGTGAAGTTGCAGGTTATAAAATCAATTTTGGTTAATAACCAAAATGTTTAAGGAACTCACACAACTCAGTAGCCAAAAATACCAACATAGTTTGTAATTAAATTATTAAATATGACAAATTTTAAATAGATTTTTCATGAATATTCACTGTTATTCAGTATCTATAGATAATTTCCAAAAAGATAGGAACCTTCCTGCAACCTGCGCCCCATTGTTCTCTAATGCCTGCCATATATTCCCATGTTGAGATCACCTAACTTTTAGTCAAAACAAACAAATGAGCACAATAGAACCAGAGACTTGGAAATAAAGGACAAACTGACAGTGACCAGAGCGGAGGGAGGAGGGGATAATGGGGGAAAGAAGGGGGAGGGGCAGGCAAAGGAACATGAATAGAGGACTCACAGACACGGACAGTGGGGGGTATTAACTGTGGGAGTGGGGGGACTGAGTTGGTGTGAGCAATGGGGAAAAAGGTGGGACAACTGGATGCCGAACAACAATAAAAAATATAATGTCACAAAATTTAAAAAAATAAAAGAAATGGGCAAAGAGCCTGAGGAAAACATTTTTTTTGCAAGAAGACATATAAATGACAAACAGGTACCTGAAAAAGTGATCCATATCACTCATCATCAGAAGATCAAAAATCAAACCACAATGAGATACCACCTCATACCTGTTAGAATGGCTGTTATCAAAAAAAAAAAAAGTATTGGTGAGGATATGGAGAAAAGGGGAAATGCATAAATTGTCAGCAGAATTTTAAATTTGTGCAGTCATTATGGAAAACAGTATGAAAGTTCTTTTTAAAAATAAAAATAGCACTATCATATCATCCAGAAAGCTCTATTCTAAGAGATACATACTCTCTTAGAAAGAGAAGATATATACCTTTGGGTATTTACCCAAAGGAAACACAATCAGTACACTGAAGAGGTATCTGTGCTCCCATGTTCAATGCAACATCATTCTCAATAGCCAAGAAATGGAAACTACCTAAGTGTGTGTTGACACACAAGTGGATAGAAATTGTAGTGTATACATACAAGGGATATTATTCATCCTTAAAAAAGAAAGGAACCCTGCCATTTGCAACAACATGGATCAACTTGATGGACATCATGTTAAGTAAAATAAGCCAGAAACACATACACACACACACACACAAAACCCTGCAAATTCTCACTTACACAGGCTCTGGCACAAATAACGCCACTTTTTTTTATTACAAAATCTTTTATTACAAAATCATAGATATGTAATGCTGTAACATAGCAATATCACACTCAAGCACACCCTATGACATTTTAGGTGAAATGTTCAAATTGCTGTCCATCCCATGCAAGGCATTCATATACCCTACCACCCACACTCAAGCAAGCCTTACTTCTGCCAGACCCTGTATATGGAATCTAAAAAAGTCAAATACATAGAAGCAGAGAATAAAACCATAGTTACTGGGAAACTGGGGAAAATGGAGAGATGTTGGTCAAAGGGTAAAAAATTGCCAGGTTTATTTTGATAAATAACTTTAGAAGTTTCATGTATAGCATAATGATTATACTTACTAGTACCATAATGAATACTGGAAATTTGCTAAGAGCATAGAGCTCAGGCATTCTTACCGCACACTAAAAATTATAACTATGTGAGATGGTATGTTAATTAGCTTGACTATAGTAATCATTTCACTATGTATACCAAATCATTATATTTTACACCTTAAATGCACACAATTTTAATTTAAAAACAAAATAAAATAGCAAACAAACCAAAAACAAAAAGTGGTGCTGTTGTAAAATGTAAAAAAAAAAATGAAACTGGATCCTTACCTTACACCATATACAAAAAAGCAACTCCAAATAGATTATAGATTTAAGCATAAGACCTGAACTTACAAAACTCCTAGAGGAAAACATAGAAGGACATCTTTATGACATTGATCTTATCAATGATTTCATAAATATGACACCAAAGCACAGGAAACAGAAACAAAAATACACAGGTGGTACTACATTAAACTAAAAATCTTCTGCACAGCAAAGGAAATATTCAATAAAGTGAAAAAGTAACTAATGGAAAACAAGGAATTATTTGCAAACCATGTATCTGATAGGAGTTTATTTTCAATATATATACCAACACCTTCTACTTTATAGTAAAACAACAACAAAATGAAAAAATGAATGACTAACTCAATTTAAAACATAGAAAACATTGAATAAATATTTCTTCAAGGAATATATAAAATGGCCAACAGGTACATGAAAAAATGCTTAAAATCACCAATTATTAGGAAAATGCAGATCGAAACTACAATAAGATATCACCTGATACATGTTAGGATGACTAACATAGAAAGAGTGTTGGTGAGGGTACAAATAAATTGGAACCGTTGCACACTGCTAGTTAGAATGCAAAGTGGTTTAGCTGCTATGGAAAGCAATGTGGAAGTTCTTCAAAAAATTAAAGATAGAATTACCATACCATCCAGCAATTCCACTTCTGAGTATTACCCAAGATAACTGAACTCAGTATCTGGAAGAGATATAGGCACTCCTATGTTCATGGCAGTGCTATTCACAATAGCCAAGATGTAGAAACAACCTAAATGTTCATCTACAGATGAAGGGAGAAAGAAAGCGTGGTTTATAACATGCAGTGGAATACTACTTAGTCTTAAAAAGAGAAATTCTGCAATATGCCACAACATGGATGGACCTTAAGACATTATGGTAAATGAAGTAAGCCAGTTACAGAAAGACAAATACTGCATGATTCCATTTCTATGAGGTTTCTAAAATAATCAAGTTCAGAAAATCAAAGAGTGGACTGGTGGATGCCAAGGTCTGGGAGGAGAAAGAATAGGAGCTAGTAATCATCAGGCATAAAGCTTCAGCCAAGCATGGTGAGTAAGCTCTAGAGATATGCTACAGACTACAGAACATTGTATCTATAGTCAACAATAATATATTGCACACTCGAAAATTTATTAAAGAGGTAGATCATATTTTAAGTGTTCTTTCTACAGTAAAATAAATGAGAGAGGAAAAGGAAAGAGAAATTGGCAAACTGCACAAGAGAATGTATACAAAAGGCTACTGAACAAATGTAAAGGTGATGAACATAATTAGTCATGAGAGTAATGCATATTAATACCACAATTACATATATTACACATCCATTCAAACAGCTATATTGATAAAAACTGGCATTAACAAGTGCTTGAGAAGATGTCGAACAACTGATACACACATACATAGCTTTTTGGAATAGAAATAGTTCAAGAATATGGAAACAGTTTGGCTAATTCTTAAAGGTTAAACATACACTAATCTGCAACCTAGTAGTTTTGCTTTCAGATATGTGAGTGAAAACATATATCCACAAAATGATACATATCAAAATGTTCATAAGAGCTTTATTCATAATAGACCTAAACTGGAAACAAGACTAATGTCCAACAACAGGTGAATGAATAAACAACAAAGTGTTGTATATTAATAACATGCAATAATGTTTGAAACAACCACATCAAAAAAAATCTATGGACATATGTAACAGCATGAATGTTACTCAAAGAAGTTATTCTGAGAAGGGTAAAATACAAAAGATTGTATACAATGTAATTCCACACACGAAATCCTAGAATAGGCAATACTCTTCTACGGTGGCAGAAAACAGATCATCAGTTATCATAGGCCAGGGTGTGGGGAATTGACTACCAAGATTATAAGAAAAGTTTTGGAGTGATGGACATGTTCTGTATGTTGATTATAGTAGTGGCTTCATTATCACAGAATTCAAAATGGGTGCATTTTAGTTTATGTAAATCATGTTTCAAAATTGTTATAATTTTCAGTTATTTTCTTCTGTATGGTATATTTTGCGTCTTGCAATTACCACACATGTACCTGCCATCCATTCATTATTGACCTCCTTCAATCAGTTCTCAGCATTTTAACTAGAATGATAATTTTGTAATGCAAATTAGACCTTTTTCCCATCCAAACCTGTAAGATTTCAAAGGCTTTTCATTGTATTTAGGGTTAAACACTGAATCCTTTACCTGGTTCATAAGCTCTGTGTGTCTAGGGCTCTTTAGAGCCCTTGTAAACCTCTTTAGCTTCATGTTGACAGACCTCTACACTGTCTGTTGGGTACATTCTTTTTTTTTTTGGATGTGTCTTACTGTGTGGGGCACTTCTCTCCATCTGCCTGGAATTTTCTTCCTCACCTCACCCTCCCTTTGATCGGTCGCCTCTCACTATTCTTATGATGTCAGCTCAATTACACTTCCCCCAGAAGTCTACCATCACCTCTTAGATTAGGTCAATTCTCCTTATTTTGCACTTTCATAGGACTGTGCAATAAAAGTACAAATCCTATTAAGCTGGGGATTGATGTTCAGAAAGAATCGTCATACTGTACTACATTTTGAAGTGTTGAATCAGAGTCTCTTCAAAGTTAGTTTAGCTCTAAATGTTATAATTTCATAAATTGAATTACTTTTACTTGAATTCTGTGAGAGCCCTATAAGGCAAGATGCCAAATTCCAAAAAGATTACTATAATTTCTTAATTTATCTCCTCTAGTGCAGGTATCATTTGCAATATTTACTTGTTTTTTCTAGTCATGACTATTATGTTTCAGAGTAATAATGTCATCTGTCACCTGTGAAGCTTCATCCACCAACTCTGTGCCATAGGGAACAGACACAGTAGAGTTAGATTTAATAGTTTCCATTTTCTCAGGGCATTCTTTTGAAGTAGTAAAGGAACCTGGGTTGGGTTTACTTTTATAAATGTACCTCACATTTTGCTGTCCTGAAGCACAGAGGAAGTTAATTCATTGATTATATCTTCCATTTCTCTTATTATTTGTAAAAGGACAAAAAAAATTGTCTATATTACTAGAACTACGAGGTCTGTCCAGAAAAAGTCCAACCATTGTTAATATAATAAGAACTGTTGGTATGACATCATGTAACCTGGCAGCCAAGGAGAGTAGACCGGAATGTGCGTGCATGAACAATGACAACTTCACTGTACTAGCCAGTGGGGGTGGTAAACGCCTTTGAGTGAGCATGGGCATTGTGTGGTTGTTGCATTCAAAATGATTGAGTGAGTAGAGCAATGAATCTGCATCAAATTACATGTTAAGTTTGAATGTTTCTCCACAGAAACTATTTTGGTGATTCAGAAGGCCCCACAATGATGGGCAGCTGGGGATTGGCACTTTCATCAGACAACATGCCCGCTCATGCTTCACGTCTGGTGCAGAGTCTTTTGGCGAAACATAAATCACCCAGGTGACCCAGTCCCCCTACAGCCCAGATTTGGTGCTCTGTGACTTCTGGCTTCTCTAAAACTAAAATCTCCTTTGAAAGGAAAGAGATTTCAGACCATCGATGAGATTGGGGAAAACACAACGGGGCAGCTGGTAACTGGGAGAACTCTGTTAGGTGCCAAGGTGTCTTCTTTGAAGAGGACTGAGGCGTCATTGTCCTATGCACAGTGTTTCTTGTATCTCTTATCTTCTTCAATAAATGTCTCTATTTTTCATATTGTATGACTAGATACTTTCTGGGCACGCCTCATATATTACCTATATAATTACTGGAGTATTTCTTATTATTATGAGAATAAATGTGAAGTACCTGACACAGGAGGTGTTTATTCTATCAACAGTAGTCATGGAAGAATACAGCAGTGGAGGAAAAAAAGGTGGATTTTCCCCCTCATTTACTGAAGCCTAAAGTGCCAGTTGGGAGAATCAATACAAGCCACTTACTTAGGTCTTGAGGCATAATTGAGTTAAAACACTTCTGTCCCCATCTGCAATTCTATTAATAGATACCAAGCACTTTAATCAATGTGTCTGAGGCCTGCCTGCCTGCACGGATGCAAGCCTCTTTAAGGCACAAACACCTACATTTGTACAAGTCAGAGGGTGTCATAGCTGGGGACTGAAGAATAAGCCTAGACAGAGCAAGACAGGCACTACCCTGGGGCTAGAACCCCACCAAGTTAATGCTACATTAATTCTCTTTTAGAATGATTAAAGAAATTCATTTATATTTCTATTTCTCATTTTCCAAATAGACTTAGCCATCATTCCAAGTGTATCACAAAACTCTCTCTGAACAATTTCTATCTCAAGATGAGAAGGCCAGAATTGTGTATTTATATCTTCCTTCTGGGCCACTCAGATTTTGAAAAATCTGTTTTTAAAAGGTCGAATTTTGGAAAAAGCATTACATTTAAAACTCTGATTTTTATTTGTCATTAGCACTCTTTTTGTTGACAAAACTTTTACTGGATCAATTTTAAATGATACCTTTTTAAAATTAATAATCAGTTTTTAAGCTGCAAAGTAGGACTAAGAAATAGAAGAGGTCAGGTTTCTTCCCCCCAAAAAATAGAACAAAAATATCTATTTTCTTTTCTTTATCCTGGAAAAGGTGTTAAGGTTAGAATATCAGCTTGAGGCTGGCTTTAGGAGGAAATGAGAAAGAGGAGAGGAGAGAGAGGGAGAGACAGCGGGGGTGGGGGAGGGATATACTTTTTTTTCATGGGTAGGAATAAACAACTCCATCTTTTAGTGGCACATAGCACCTTTATAATTTCTATGGTGCTCGCATCTCTGTAATTCTTACTAAATCTTTAGGTCCCATTTTCAGATCTACCTGAACTTTTCACATTTTATTAAGATTATAGTTACTTCCCTTCTGTGAATTTCCATATATCTATTCTCAGAAAGAACCAACATCTAACCTCTCCAGGTATTACTGTAAGACCATCCCACCTAGACAAAGCAAATGCCTTGACAAGTAGTCTCAGATTTCCTATCAACTTTGTTTCTTCATCCACAAATGTCCAAAGTAAAATAAATAATACTGCTATATTCAGCTGCAATTTTAAAACTTAAAAAAAATAGACTTAAAGCATTGCATCCTTCAAGACAAAATGGACACTGATAATTACTATAATCAATTCATCAAAGTGATTGCTAAGTGTTACAAACAACAACAATAAAAACTGATCTGGAAGAGTAAGATAAAATGACTTTCCAAAGCCTGTAAACTGATCAAAGGGGATAAGTTTCATTAAAGCAGGAGCTAGTTCAAATCTCTGTCATTCTCCTCTAGCAAAGCTGTACTTTTTTTAAAAAATATTTTATTAAGTACCTATAGATAACAATACAGTGCTGTGCCAAATTAAACTACTGACATCATGTTTAAACACCAACAATTCACGTGTTTCCCAAACTGTTTTGTTTTAAACATTGCTGGCATGCAGAGAAGTTGAAAGTATAGAAAAACGTGTGCTCATATACTCTCCATCTACATTCAACAATTCCCAATGCAGAGGTAGACAAAAGTAGGTTTACAATTGTTCATATGGAAAAAGACATGCAGGTTACAATTATTTCAGTAGCTTTATTAACTCAAAAAAAAATGTCACAGTGCAACTGTAAACCTATTTTTACCCACCCCTGTATTCAGTGTTTGTGTGTGTGTGTGTGTGTGTGTGTGTGTGTGTCTCTTTTTCACAGACACACATAAACGCATTTTGATAAACCTTTGTCAAAAAAGTTCAATCATCACAATACTTCATGTTTAAACACTTCAAATTTCTAGTAACAAGGTGTGACATTATGATTTACAATAAGTAATATATATTTGGTCTTTGTTCCCATTCCTGGCACTTAGTTCCTAAAACTCTTGTAATTTCCTAAGCGGTAAGGGCGATGTGAGAATCTTTTGTTATAATATTTGTTTTTTTGTCCTCAAATAGTTCCAGTTCCTGATATAGTTCCAGAGTGATAAAGGAGAAAGGTGGGTCCTGTTATTCACAAAAGCTTTTTAAACCACACTTAAGTTTATATTAATGAGATGACTTTTAGGAAGCCAATAAGGATAAGTGCTTGTCACAAGAGGAATCAACCATGTGATTAAATTGTTGGCATTTTCAGTGACCCCTGCAACCTCCAGAGAAGGGAGAAGGGCTAGAACTTGAATTAATCAGCAATGATCAAAGACTTAATTATTCAGGCCTATGTAATGGAGCCTCTGTAGAAACCTACACAAATGGGTTCTGAGAACTTCTGGGGTTGTGAACATGTAAAGATGCTGGGAGAGTGGCATGCCCAGAGAGGGCATGAAAGCTCTGTGCCCCTTCCCACACACCTTGCCCTATGCATCTCTTCTATCAGACTTTTCCTAAGTTACATCCTTTTATATATAATAAACTGGTAACCTAGTAAGTAAACTATTTTTTCCAAGTTCTGTGAGCTGCTCTAGTGAATTAACCAAACCTAAAGTGGGGTTTGCAGGAACCAGCAATTTATAGCCAGTCATACAGAAGCACAAGTAACAACCAGAACTTGTGACTCCCATCTGGAATAGGGGGAAGAGGGAGAGCAGTTCTGTGGCACTAAGCCCTTGGCCTGTGGGAGCTGACTTTATTCCAGGAATATAGTGTCAGGATTGAGTTAAATTTTAGGATGCCCAGCTGGTCTTGAAGAATTGCTTGGTGCGGGAAAAACCCACACATTTCATGACCAAAAGTGAAGTGAAATATTGATAGAGAGACATACAGAAAGTGTTTTTTCCTTTACTTGAGGACATTTTATCACTGAATCAAAATAATATTATCATAACTAAGAAAATGTCCAGGAAATTCCTAGCATCTGAACTCTGGCTGATGTCTATATTTCTCTAATTGTTAACAAGTTTACTTTTTAAGTTTCATTGTGTTGAACCAAGAACAAAACAAAGCTCTCATATTATATTTTGACCTCTTTGATTCTTTCATCATCTCTTTAATCTAGATGATCTTTCCTCCACCTTCTTCCCTTCCTTTTTCAAGAGTCCAGGCCAGTGGATGTAAAGACAGTACAATAGTCTCAGTTTGTCTGTTTCCTTATGGTTTCATGTACCTTGTCTTTCTATCTTCTGTATTTTCTATAATCTGGAAGTTAGAATTAGGACTTGATGAGTTTTGAGTTAAATATATTTGGCAAGAGTATTCACTTCATAGATAATATTGAAACCTCACATGAAATCATAACAGGGGACCACTATTGTTACAGTCTGCCATTATTAGTGCTGTTATTTTTTTATAACTTGGTGAAGGAGTATATTGATGAGTTATATCATGTTACTTAACAATATCCACAAATTCAATGTATTAAAACAACACATACTTATTTTCTCTGGGTCAGGAGTCTGGTCATGACTTAGTTTAGTCCTTCCTTTGAGAGTTGCATACTGGACAACCAAGATATAAGGAAGAAATATGGTCTTATCTGAGGCTCAACTGGGGAAAAAGTGACTTTCAGCCATTATGAGTATTGGCAGCATTTACCCTCTTACAGGCTGTCCGATTAAGGGCCTCAGTGACTTGGGGTCTTTGGGCTATAGTCAAATTATTTGCCATGTGGCTTTCTCGCTATGCCAGCTCACAACATGGCAACCTGCAGCCTCAAAGCCAGCAAGACATATATGACAGTATTTTATAATAGAATCACATATATGTAATCACATATATCCTGTTATCTTTGCTGCATATTGCTGGCTAGGAAGCAAGTCACAACTACTGCCCACACTCAAGGAGACAGGATTATACAAGGTCATGAACACCAGGAATCATGGATCATGGGAATCATCTTAAAATCTGCCCTCCAAAAGGTAAGAGCCATGTTTCTCCAATGTAAAGGCACATTTTCCAATTAGCAATGAATAAGCGCCCTGTGGAGTGATACTTTGATACCATGTGAATAATTTAATATATTAATTGTAAAATACAATTTTTGAATATTTTACATTGGAAATTATTCAATTTAATATATTCAAAATTATTCAAAATAATATATAGTATTAATATAAATTTAAAACATATATAGCATATTATATAGTATATATTATTTTAACATACAGATTTAAAATGCATATTATATAGGTATATATATAACACCCATCTGTTTGTGTATATATATATATGTTTGAATATACATATTTGAATTCTGAAACTCATAGATATTTACAATTCAAAATTAACTCTGTAGGGCTTTTCAAAATATTTTATATTATTTTATGTTTTCATGCTCTTTCTAATTGTTCCTAATATCAAAACATTTAATTATTTGTTCTTTCGACAACATATACAGAACAGTCTCAAATTGCAGTATGAAAATTATTATTAACAATAATCCCAGTAAGTAAAGTCTAATTTTTCCCCTTAGCATATACTCTATTAGGGGTAATAGAGTATTGCATTCCACAGTTCTTTGAAATAAACTGCAAATTCTGCTGAAATGAATAACTTTCACCTAGTTTGTTTTCTACTTATGTACATGTAAATTCAGACAATCACTTGTAGAAGTCCCCAGGAAATCTGAGATAGATTAGCGTGCAATTTCTTAAGGACTGCTCTCAGTATCAGTACCTGAAGGTGGCGGGGAGGCAAGGTTGAACAGAAGGAGAAGTCAGACTGCACTGTAGTATCAGTTAAGAGCTCAGCCAACCATATAGTGGCCCTAGAGCCAGAAGAGTCCTTCAGAATTGTCACAGTTAGGGTGAGAGGTCCAAGCTTCATATCCCTGTGACCTTCAGTAATTGGACATCAGATACCCTGCAAAGGGCATGTGGTTTTGGGTTAGTCAACCTCCATCACCTGGTAATTGAAAGTTTTCAGCCAGTGACTAAATCAACAGTTGGGTGACTCTATCAGTCCTAAAATAGAGACCAATCAGATGACATAGAATATATCACAATTTACAACCTTATGTCACTTGAATCTACTTGCGTCATATTAATTCAAGGCCCTGGTGGGTCCCTTTTGGGTGGAAAAAGCTCACCCCCCACTACTGTACATGACTTTGAAGCTGCAACGGATTATCTTCATGTTTATCTATTATTACGCACCCTAGATTTCCCTCGCTCTCAGTCTGCTGGTCTTGGTGGTTCTATGTAAGATAAACAACATCCTCATTCCTGAGCAGTCTCTGCCCCTGCTTCTTATTGTCATTCTAAAGTTCTGGCCACTAAAGTTATCCCTTTATCATCAAAATTGGTCCAGGGAGAAGTAAGAGATATGTATTTAGGATAACCTGGAAGGCAGTGTGTGACAGCAGGCCCACATCCTCATCATGAGCCGGGTCGATGCCCTACAAGGATGGTGACTTTTGTTCTTCCCTGTCAGTGCCTTGACAAGAGGAGCCATAACACTCGAGCAACAGTCTTAGTGCAGAGTTCAGTGCATCTGTTGCTGTTTGCCTGGTGGAAGCATTTCCCTCTTTGGGAAGCATAACTTCCGATCCAGAAAGAGCACAGAGTCAACAGGGTGTGGGTCACAATTTCCTCAAGTGAGTCACTGGACATAATGGAAAGTGTAGTTCTTCCAGTCCCCACCTCCCCACTTATTGTTTCATATATCCTACCCATTGAAGACACAGCATCCATATAATGGATGTTGATATAAGGTGTATGTGATGTCTTAGAGGGTGGTGCCCCATCCTCACAGTATATTATGTCCGTGTTGATCCTTTAGCTGTGCCTTCTATAGTTCAGTCACTTGCTCCACAGAGAGAATAGTTTCTGAGTGGTATGGAATAAGAAAGGGCATGCTGACTCCATATAAAAATATATCCGCAATTATGTGTGTGTGTGTGTATGTGTGTGTAATTTCACACTGCCTTTGCTAAAGCAGGTCCCTTGGTCCCCTGTGACATTATGTTGGCTGTCATGTTGATACACAAAACATTCTGCAAGGTCTTACATAGTGGTTCTGGAAAACAAATGGATTGATGTCAGTCATTCTAAAATACAATATGACTAAATACACTCAAACCCATGCTCTTGGCCTCTCTACCATTCTATCTTTATTCTTTTACAGTTCATATATTGCTAGAGGGTCTAAGATTATCCTGAAACAAAGAACACTGAGCTTAGACCCTGAGAAATATACAACAAAATGAGAAGCTCAGTCCAACTGAAAATGTGAAGGGACACAAGCAGTTCCCGTTCTTTTCCCACAAATGCCTATGAATAAGCATGGGCAGTATTTATTGAAAGCTCAATACATGCCTGCCACTGTTCTAAGTATTTGGCTCTGATTAATTCTTTTAAACTTTTCAATGGCCATATAAGTAGGTTCTATGACTATCTAATTTCATTATTGAGGACACCAGGGCACAGATAGATTAAACCACTTGTTCAGTTCCTCTAGCTAGTTAAGAAATGAATCCCGAGTTCTAACCTGTATCATCTGACTTCAGAGCCTCTGCACTTAAATCCTGTACCATATTGCTTCTGAAAACAAGAAAAGAGGGAAAAAAGACCCAGGATAGATTTTTAAAGAACTCTCTTAACCATTCATCATCATGTCGACCAACCTAGCACATGAACCTTCTGTACCTGCTTATCACAAAGAAGAAAGGATGTGTTTCTCATAAGTAGAAAGGGCGTCAGCCTTGGATTTGAGTCTTGCTTCAGCCAATTCTCGTTGAGAGACCACAATAATGCCCAGCCCCATGGGTTTCAGTTTCCACTGAAGTAGGATTAAATGCTTTCTCAGGATCTCTGGCTGTCGCATAACTAGGAAACAATTATTATCATGGATTATGTGGAAGTCTCTGGAATTTGGTATAATGGGTTTGTGTGTTTTCCACATAAATGGGACCTCAGCTGCTTACATGAGAATGTCTTACCCATCACAGGAGAAAACATCAATGTGAATTTTTCAACCCTTAGCTCTAGTAGAACTCATTTGAGTGAAAGGTACAAATGTATCCTAGAAGCTAAAACCTGATGACAGAAGGTCAGACAGCTTGGGTCTCATTGAAGGGACATTCTTCTCTTTGAAACTAGCAACCAAAGCATTATGCTGTGTGACAAGAAGGTGAACTTTAAGAAGCCCTGAAAAATTGGTGAATTCATTAGCATTGGCCATTCTGATTGCAAATCAATGACTCATTTAAGCACTCTCCTGACAGCTACCGAGTTGTTTCCTTAAGACAACTCTTTAATGAAAGAAAGATCCTGAGAATATGAACTACTTGGTTTCACATAAAGGCAGCAAACAGACTAAAACCTAGGTTACTTCTCACCGTCAATTAGGTGAAGCAAATGAGTCATCCTTGTAAAAATAACCACCTTTCTCTTTCTTCTTTCACAACACAGACACTTTGTCATTAGTTAAGCTTATCTAAATTGAATTACCATCCTTCCAACCAGCATTTTGCTCCTTAAACTGATGCACCACAAATGTCTATTAAAGTATCAGACACACACATTGGCCAAAAAGAAGGGGGAAAAGTATCTAGTGTACATGCTCATTCATTCAGTCATTCTACCAAAAGAAGTGTTGGCACTTCTCTAAGTATCATGTTACATATTAGAAACACAGAAGTGCATAAAGAAGACTGATTTCTTTCCAATGAAAATTATAAATTTAGCATAGGAAATAGAAAAAATACAAATGCAATTATAATAGTAAGTGCAAAATGTACTACTCAGTGATTTCAAAGCACTAGAGGGAGAGCTGAATTCCTTGAGACAATTGGAGACGTGTCTTTAGAGGCATCTTCACGAACTGAGTCTTACAGGATAAAGAGATTTAGCTGAAGGAGCCAAAGGTCATCAGGCAGAGAAGGAAGCATATGAGAAGGTATGAAGGTCTACAGGGAAGGATTCTGCCTGGTAGGGGAGGTCAGATGGGAGAACATGTCTCAGTTGCCCAAGTCTAAGATTTTATTGCTCAATATTTTTGAAATAGGTTTTATAAATATATGAAAGGTAGTTTAAAAAACAAATAAACTGGCTCTCAGGTCAAATATACCTTTAACACTGCTAATTACATCTAGTCCTCCATCTCAGGACATGAATATACAATGCACAACTATGAAATTTGTGTAAAAAAAATCTTCATAGGAAAACAATGAAAAGAGAGGGACAATGAGCATATATTTAACAAATATATAGTCAACAGTTGTATATTACACACAAGAGGGAAACACATACATATGAAATAATGTAGACTGGTTAAATTAGTCATTATACATCTATACTATTTAATAAGGTATAGCTTTTAACAGAGAAGTGTGATTTGTATATATTCTCATGGAAGAAGATCGTTTGAATGAATAAAACAATTTATGAAAATTTATGTATAGTAGGTACCATTTTGTTAAAAACAAAACAGTGATATAACTGTGTGTATATTTATATGAGCAGATTTAGAATATGTGTATGAAAACAAAACAACCAATTATTTATGATCATTGTTACTGTTGGAGAGATGGGGGAATGGAGAATGTTTTAAGGACCTTAACTATTTAAAAAATCTTTGCACCTCACTCTTTCACAAGATTGTTTCTTAAATGTTTATACATAAAATATTATTTTATGTTATATGTACTTTATATATCATACCATAATATATATTTACTTATATTTTTTCTTTTAATTATATCTATATACTGACATATATTATCTAATTAGCCAGCTAGTTACCTAATTTTTCTTCTGAGTCTTCTAATTTCTAATGGGCTTCCAACATATTTCCTGTGGGCTTGCCTTGGCTTTTATGTTGTCCATGTGATGATTTATATCACCACTAGATCTCATTGTTCCCTGGTTGGTTTTATGTGACATGCTAAGCATAAAGGTCAACACTTTTATAACAACTGACCACAGTCAGCAATGCCCTGAATCCACCAATACTGGCCCACTCTAGCAGACCGGCCCAGCTAATGAAATGCAGCAATAGATTCACCAACATTATTCTTTCAGTTTACTTCTTTTCCATAGGAATTTTAAACATTGTACAGCGCACGCATGTGCACAAACACACCAAGATTGTCTCAAAGTAAGAATGCAGTCTTTGAACAGAGCCACACCTTGGGTAAGGTGCTTTCCTTCTCTATATTGTGTTATACATGAAGGTAATAAGCAAAGGAGACAATAGTATTTTGCATTGCTTTATGAAAATGACAAGTTATATGCAAGGATGTTTTATTATTACATAGACCCTATTTTATCATTTAGCACCATTCAGAGAACACTTAAGGGGGAAGGTATCCCTAGGAATCACTCTTATTCCTTTATTCGCCAAATACTTATTAAGCTTTAACTGTCTTCCTGGCACTGATTTAGGTGTTGAGGAAATGAGAGTATAAAAATATAAAAAGATATCCCTATCCAAATAGTGCTTACCTCATCGTGGATAGATACACAACACAAGCAAGACAAATAACTAAAATATGTGCAATTGTATTTTGCTTATGCTAAAAGGCACGTTTGTTCTTGCAGAGTTTCAATATCTCTGAAATCAGGATGCATCTTACAGGCAAGATCATGTTATTTCAATTTTTTTTCTTCTAGTACATACACAAATGTTGCATCTCATAATCATTGGTGTCTAAGACTGGATGATATATGGTGTACTGTGGGGGTAAAAGAAGGAAAGGATTATAGTTCTGGAAAGGATAAATTTAAATAGGGTGAAGATTCTCTGGAAATGTTGTATTTGAGCAACCAGGAAGAGGTGAAGGACTTGGCCTTTCAGTAGATCATTGTAAGTAGATGCAACAGCAAAATAGACAGGCCTGAGGCAGTGTGGCCTGTGTGTTGGAGGAGCAGCAAGAATGTGTGTGTGGCTGGAGCAGGGCGAGGGAGAGAAAGTATGTAAGGTGAGGTCTCAGGGCAGTGACCAGGGTCCATGTCCTGTGTAGGCTTATAAATGACCATAGGGACTTCAGCTTGACTTCAGAGTGAGATACACTCTATCAACGGGTATAGACCAAAGCACTAATATGGCTATGGAAGAGGTTGAATTCTGGTCTATTTTGAAGGAAAAATTTTCAAGATTTGTCTATAGGATGGAGGGAAGAATGAGACAAGGTTAGCATTGGGAATTGGTCAAGGATGGTGCCAATGTTTTCCATATGAGTGAGCATACCATTTCTACAGACAGGCTTCAGTACCCAAAGTATTCATTTCTGAAAGATTCTTTCCTGAGGTAATAGATGATAAAGAATTGATTTGACAAAGGGTTTTGTTAGTACAATATGGTGTTTCCATGCTTGAAGGGATAGATCAAAGAACCTGCTACACTTTAGTAGGGAATGGATATTTTATATGGTGTCATAATTCTGAGGGTTTAAACTTGGAACTGAAGTCTGCATGGACCTGAGCCAAAAGCCTCCTGGAATGCTGGTCTCTGCTGTTCCCACACACCCCTGAATGAGATAGTCTCTGTCATGGTTTGCCTGGACCCCTCCTTGGAGTTTTCTGAATGGTAATTATTCATAAAGCATTTAACCAAAACTTGATCAATTTGTCTTTCCAAACATTCGGATTATTATTATTATACCATTAGGAGATATATCTGATCACATGAAGCCAAGACACCAGAAATCACACTGATTTCTGAATGCTTTCAGAAATCACACTGATGTTACCATTTATTAAGAGTCAACTGTTCATCAGGCAGTTTAATTTAAATGTATCATATGTAATTCCCACAATTTTTCAAGGTAGCTATTATCATACCCATTTTGGGAAATGAGGAAATACAAAATATGTAAATGATACACAAGGACAAGTATGGCGTAATGCATTCAAGCCTTCAGCACTATTTCCACATGCCGTATCATTATGGGCCACAACAGGGATCCTGATATGGTGTAGTTTTCTGCATTATCAAGGAAAAAAATCCAATCTTATCTAAAACATTTTAATATGCTAGGCATTACACTAAAATATTTCATAGCAATATCAGCAACCTATACTTACAGAAGCAAAAAAAATAGGCTCTTGCATTTTAGAAAGACCAGGAACACTTATATTTTTAAAATGGAGGGGTTGGATTTATTAATAACTTTATCATCTTAAAATTCTACTACAAGAACAGACCAGTTACAGTAGTTGAAATTTCACAGTACAGCAAAAAACAAGAGCTTTGGCGTGGATAAATCTGGAGGCAAACCCCACATCACATCTTACATTTACTATCCATAAGGGACTCAACTCTCTGAGCCTATTTTTCCATTTGTTAATATGAAAAAAGGCTGCTTGCTTTCAGTGAGGACCCAGTGTAAATGTATGTAATAAAACCTCACCTGTCCATAAAAGGTACCTAAGATTAAGGCAATTTCTAGTGAAGCCGTGTGGTATAATGATAAAAGCCATGTGTCTTCATTCATTCTGGCTGCTACAACAGAATGCAATAGATTGACCTGAATTATAATTCACCTGCATTATAAACAATAAACATGCATTCATCACAATTCAAGGGGCTGGGGAATCCAAGGTCAAGGTGCCAGGAGATTCAGTGTCTGGCAAGGACCCTCTTCCTACTTCATAAACAGCCAACTTTCCATCAGTCCTTCAAGGGCAGAAATATCAAGGGAGCACTCAGGGGTCTCTTTTATATGGGCACCAATCCGGGGCCCTCATGGCTTTGTCACTCCCCAAGGGCCTCGCCTCCAAATACCCTCACATTAGGGATTGAGTTTCAGTGTATGCATTTGGAGGGGACACAAACCTTCCACCCATAGCACTGTGGTAGACAAAATAATGACACTGCCAAAGATGCCTGCATCCTAATCTCTGGGACATGTGAATATTTTATGTTCCATGAAAAAGAATTAATATTGAAGCTGGAATTAAGGATCTAATGAGATGACTTTAAAACAGGCAGGTTTCCTAAACTTTATGTGTGGGCCCAATATAATCAAAGGATCCTTAAAAGTAGAAGAGGTAATAAGGAGAGAAAGCTAGAGAGATGGCAACATGCGAAGGACTCGACTCGACATTGCTGGGTGTGAACATGGAGGAACAATACCATAAGCCAAGGAAAGCAAGTGGCCTCTAAAAGCTGGAAAGGAAATGGGTTATCTATTAGAGCCCTGAGGAAACCTATTGCCCTGACAATACCTTAAGCTTAGTCCAATGAAATCCACTTCAGATCTCTGACTTCCAGAACTGTAAAATATTATATTTGTACTGTTGAACCCACTAAACTGTAGTCATTAATTATAGTAGCAACAGGAAACTGAGAGCCAGAAGCTAAGAGTCAGGAGGCCCATATTCAAATTCATGCTCTGCCACTGACTAGTCATATTATCTTGGAGAGCTTTCTCTACCACTGCATGCCCTATTTTCCTCATCCGTGAAGTGGGAATGAGAATACTAGCTGCTTCGTGCTCTTAGGGGGCTAAGAGAGTTACTACATAGCTTAACCATTTAGAGTGGTGTATGGCTCATGGAAATTACTTAATACATATTAGCTATGGCACTTTCTTAGAGTCCAAGGATAATGGTCTCAGTGATGTTGTATCTATCCCTTTAGTGCTATAAATATGCAATATATAATTTTTAATTAAATGCAATATATATGTAAACATATATATATATTTATAGCATCTTATTTACAAAAGGTGCCATATGTAAGCATAAAATGCTGGACACATCTATGTTTCTAAACTATTTGCTGCATAAACTTAGGGAATGGTTAATAGAGTGTAGAACTCCCACCCAGGGATACAAATTGAGGTCATGCTGGTGGGGAGGGCAGAGACAAAGGAAAAGAGGATCTCAGCTGTGATCATGAAAAAGAAAAGAAGGCAAGTATGTAAAAACCCCACAATAATGGCAGACCAGTTGCCATTTTTAACCTAATAACACTTTTTCCTTTAAAAAACAACCTTGTTGCTTTCAATCATGAGTGTAGAGAATGAACATAATTACTTGGCATTTCAAAGAAATAAAATTCAAAAGAGCCACTGAAGTTATCCATCCCTCTTTTCTAAACTTGCCACATCAAAAATAGATGTCCCTGGCATGATAACATACTAAAGCCATTTTGAAAGAAAATTAGAATTTTGATTCCTCATTTTCCTTTCTCCCCAGTAAGGTTTTAAGCAGATGGGAATATCAGTTTAGTTACTTGACATTTAGAAGGATAAATGACTTAAGAGCTTTCTGATCCACTCTCATTGAAGCATATTTGATAACATCTGCCCAACATCTTACACTCACATCAGAGCCAAGTATGATTTAACAAGAAGAGATTGGCTGGAATCCAGGACCTCAGGATTCCATTCCTGATCCTGATACTAATAACTAACATTGCTTCAGTCACTACCCAGTGATAAATACAGCTTCTTATTGTATGGGCACCTTGTTTACTATTACCCTAGATCAGCAATTTTCAACAGGTGGGCTAAAAGAATTTCAAAAGATGCAATATCTGGCTATTTAGTCAGGGGCACTGACCACTTTTAGGTTGTTAAATTAAAAAATGACAACAGCCAACAGAGCAATAGTCATCCAATGTGAATGAATTAAAATTATACCTACTTTTACTTGTCAAATCAGCAAAAATATATAGTTTTGGTGTGCCATAGAATTTTAGTAATTAGCTCATGTGTGCCATGAGATGAAAGAGGCTGAAAATGGTTGTCCTAGATAGTATGTAATTATTAAGTCTAAGAAGTTAAAAACAGTATATGGCATAATTTTTTCAAGGAGAAAATAATAGTGTACATGGGGACAAGTTTTTACTCTATCTTACTTTAGATTGTATTAGAGAAACTGCAAAATTATTGGATGTTATGGCTAAAGATCTTTTTCATATAGAAGAAAACTTTATTCTCTTACTATTTTTTCTGAAGACATGCTGCCATTTTTATTAGAAATTCAAATTCTTTTTTATGCAATAAATTACAGTATTTTGTTTACTATCTTACCTCAGTAGTTATCAGCCTATGTCAATAACAAAAAATATACAGTCTAATTTTTCCATGTTATAGTGTACTTTTTAAGAAAAAAAAAAGGAGCATGTCATTCCTCAGGCATTTATGAAGACTAACTGGGCAACCTCCACCAGATAAGAACCATAAAACAATTATCAATGTTCATCAAAATCACTTGAACAAATAGAGAGCAAGCACCTCCTGACCCAGTATTCACACCTAAGTGAAATGTAAATCTCTTCTGATGCCTCCATTTAGACACTGGCTAATAGATAACTTTTACTCCACAGAATTGTCCTCTCTTGCAAGGGTATGTCGGTTCATTCATGTTCTATCTTGAGAAACTATGCAAAGAGTCAGGACTCAATGTTTGCTGAGTGAACCGATGGAGGAACTAATTTACTTACAGTGCTCTTCTACTCTATTGGCTTGGCTCGTAAAAGTAGGGAATTTTCTAATAGAGATGGTCTCATTGGAATTTAGTTTGCTAGGTCACTATACTACATAAGTAAGGGTAAGGAAACATTGAATTCTGAAACTTGAGGGAATCTGAAAAGTCAACAAATTCAATATTCTGGTTCCCCAATTTTTAGAATGATTGTA